TCAGTTTCAGACTCTGACAGCTTCACAAAGGGGGTCACACAGACTCTGGAGATATCATCAGACACTCCTGTTAGATGAGATGCACTGAGGTTTTCACACCCGGGATGGGCAGGAACCTAGGCCTGCATCAGCAGGAAGTAGACCCAGAAGTTGGAACTTTGTCCCTCAGCCTCCCCTGAGGATGAAGGATGAGAGACCTCTGGGTGGGAATGATAAAAGACCAGCAGGCAGGTCACTGGGTTTGTGGAACTGGAAGCCATGTGCCCCATGCAATTCTGTCCTCTTCCTTGTCCATCAAAATGTCCAATGTCCCAGGATGCGTTTGAATCAGGCAGGTTCAAAGGAAGATGATATGAACATACGGATACTGAGCTGCACATGAGACACATTGAGGTGTCCATATAATTCCCAGATGGATTCATACCAGCCTCTTAAAAGACTCCAGCAAGTGCTCTTTCTGTACCCCACCAACAACCACCCTTTCTTCTTTTGGGCAACCTTTTGATCCCACTGTTCACACATCATGGCTATGTCTCACGCTCATATGTGTGCTTGTGTGTGTGTGTGTGTGTGTATTTTTTTCTCATCTTTTATATAAATTTCACTTTGGGTACCCTACATGTGTCAGCAATTAGCAAGTGTTTGCACATGACAAGAGCCTGGAGTATAAGAATTGTCCCCACGTGCAGGTCTGGTGGGGGTTATTGGGGACTGCTCCAACTAGGCTGCTGTTCCTGCTAGTTGGTGTGTGTGTGTGAGGTTTGAGTGTGTGGTTGGCAGGGCAGGGCAAGGCCACAGCATCTGTTGGTTTGTGTATAGATTGGGCTAGGGATACAACTGATCGGGCGACTACAACCACCAGTATGTATATAGCTTGTGGGTGATGGACTGAGCCGGACCCTGCAATGACTGGCACAGACAGGATTCAAGTCTAGGATCATCTCTGCTGAAGTTTCTTTGGGAATCCACCCAACTGGACCACTTGACTCAAAACTCCAACCATGGAGGAAAATTACAGGCTCTATGCTCTGACCGTGGAGTACATGTGTCAGAACTGGGCCTCCTCAGTTGCTGAAACCTGTGCAGGGGACGGCATTCCCAGAGGGCTGCAGAGGATGTCTAGCATCATGGATGACAGAACAAATTGGACAGCTCTCTTGGCCAAGTTTTGACAACAAGTGTCTGGATGAATGGAGACTCCAAGGTGGACTATTTCAGCCAACGGTCCTTGGAAGGATTTCCTCAACCTTGGGACAATGAAATTAACAGCATCTCAGAACTATCAAAACCACTTGAGCAGTACCCTCAGAACATGCTCTACATTGGGGACCCTAGGATGACATCAAATAGCCTTCCCCCAACCCCAGATACTGATGTGGTTGGGCAGCTGGGAATAGCCTTCTCTTCTTCTCTCTTCCCTTTCCTCCAGATATAGAAAGATAAAGATAGTTAGAAGCAATTATCTCACCCACTTTTCCCCATGCCTCGACCCTCGCCACCCTAATCAGTGGTCCACATAGGTATACATCCTTTTCAACTACACAAACAGCATCAAAAATAAAGCTTTAAAAAAATTGCTCCCATCACCATCTGCACAAGAGGCAGGTTCTTTGTGCAGATGCACACTGGCCAAGGTTGTGAGGGTCTCAGGAAGGGACCACCTACAGCCAAGGAGGAGGCCACATCAAGGGAGGCTGAGCCGAGCCTGACAGATTGTCACTTGACCAGGAATAGCAGGCAGCCTCCGAGGCTAAGCTGAGCCATGGACTAGGATGTCTGCTGCCAAGTGCTTGTGACAGAGCAGCAGGCCAGACAACCAGACTCTGATTATCGCCAGGGCGTGTAGACATGTGACCACAGTGTTTCCTCAGCTGAGTTGAGCTGTCTCTGGCGCAACATGCTTCTTAAGGTTGGTGATTTGATGGGGTGCCCACACCACCTTTAGCTTAGAGACTCCATCAAACACCCCGGGGGTACTCAACACAACGAGCAGGGTTGGAGGGGGTGAGAGATCTCAGGGTATATTGGGGTCGGCACAGGTGATGTGGGGATGAGGGGTGGCACTGGACCCATGAGATTCTCCTCTTAACCTGTGGTGTGTTGGACCCAACCCTCAACTTACAACTGAAGCCTATCCCCCCCCCGCCCCCAGGTCTCTGCAGCACTGACCTCTCTCCTCGCCCTCTGACACGTCTTCTAGAACCTCTCCAGTGCTCCTGGGTGGGTGCACAGAGGAGAAACACAGGGGTGGCACGTGGAAGGCAGTGGGAAATTCTCACAAAGATGCCTGTTCCCTGTCCCATACCACCAGCTCCCTGCATCCCAGGCTCCTGTCACGAGGATCCTGTGAGCATTCCATCTGTGCAGATATGGGCTGTGTGTTTCATGTGTAGGTACTCATCTGGGTTGTACCTTCATGAAAATTAAAAAAAAAAAAAGTTAAAAGCAAATACACAGAGACTGAGCCTGGGAGCAGTGAAGCGAGCTGGTCCAGGCCCTGGTCAGTGGCTAGAGGGGCAGGGGCTTGCAGACAAGCAAGCTTGGAGGTGGCTGTCCTCACTGAGACAGTCCTCAGACTCTCCGGTCTTCAACCTTGGTTTCTGCATCACGCCTCCCTGCGGGCTCTGCACCTGCCCCTTCCAGTTCTGTTACTTGTCTGTTATCACAACCCCAGAACATCATGGCACAAACATCTGGGTAAGAGGCCAGGCCCTTGGGCAGGAACCTGGGGAGCTGGGAGACCTGCACTGACGCCTCCATTTTGTTTTGTTTTTCAAGGCAGAGCAAGAGAGAGAAAGACAGAAATTTCAAAGTCCTCCCATCTGCTGTGCTCCCTTTCCCAAATGCTTCCAACTGATAGGGATAGGCCAGACTGAATCCAGGAGCTCAGAACTGCACCTGGATCTGCCATGGAGCTGACAGATGTGCAGGGGTTGGAAGCAGACAGATGTTGGACCCATTCACAAAATTCAGGTTGCAGAGGGTGGGGCTTCAGGAAAAAGGGGAGTGGTTACAAGGTGATTGTCTCTCCCCTTAGCCAATAGTGGCTTTTCTCGCCCTGGGAATCTAGAACTTAATGAACACTCACCCCCGCACTTGGGTGAAAGGTGGAGTGTGACCACTTCCGGAAGACAGAGAAGGGGAGACATGACACAGGAAGAGGCCAAGGGACTGGTGGGTGGCTTCTGGGCCCGCCTCCTTCAGCTTCCATGCCTGCGACCCAAGCTGTGGCCACGTGGGGGCCTCCAAGACATGACCCCGCAACTCCCTCCCCTTCACAGCTCTCAGCAGGATCAGCCCACCTGCATATGGGACTATGGACCTAGAATCAGATGGCAGAGGGATGCACTGCGGGGGCAGAAGGTCAAGGGCATGTGAGAGCAGGGCGGCCCCTGCAGGGGATCCTGTGTTGACCCCAGGAACCTCCCCCCAGCCCTCATCATCTGCACAGCAATGTACAGTTAATAAAGGGCTATGCTTATCGCTGTCCTGGCTCCTGACAGGTGCAACTACAGCTACCCATTGTCCAGTGCAGGCACAGTGAGGAGCCCTGCACCAGGCATTGGCTGGCTTATTAGCGGCATGAGTGGGGAGCTACATCCCCTGGGTCCCAGGCTACCCTTATCTATTTCCAGGCACTGACAATCCCTGGATGGAGATAGAGGTTCTAGGGGTGAGCAAGAACTAAGCAGACACTAAACACTCCTCTAGTCACCTAGGCCAGAAGCGGCCCCCCCCCCGACCCCCGCAGCTCTGCCTCCATTAGGTCCTGACCCTCCAGGTTGCTTTGGATTCCCTTCACTGGATCAACTGTGTGGGGATCTCTGCCCAAGCATTGCCATTGGCCACAATAACCCCCAAGTCTCGCTCTGCAACACACCCCAGCCTTGCCCCCTGGGATGCTGATGTCCGTTCCAAACACCCGGGTCTCCCTGTGGAACTGAACAGCAAGGCCAGGTTTGGTTTGTTGTCTTTGCTGGACCCTCGGGGCTTCCCATTCTGTCCCCAGCCCCAAAGGAGGAATGCTGGGATGCAGTTGCCTCCAGAGACCCTGCAACTCAGAGGGAGACTTCCTGACATCTGGCTTCCTCCACACCCCTCCAATCCCTCCTGTCCCAGGCTTCCTTCAATATCTTGCTCCCCAAACTCACAGTCTCCATCACCTGCCATGCTACTGAGATGCTCCAGGACCACCCCATGCTTTGTCCTCCCAGTTGCCTATGGTTCCCACTGACACTGCCACTGGCCACTCACCTCAGAACTGGGAGAGCTTGGGACAGAGGCTGGGGTATCAGGCTTTGCTGAAAGAGTGACCTCCACAAGCAGTAGTGGCTGTTGGGAAGGCCATGGTGCAGACAAGAACCCAGGAAGCCCTGTCACTATACCCACTGACTCTGGCCACTCTTTGGCACCTGCCTTGTATCCGGTATTACCCTCAAAGGGGTCTGCGATCCCGGTGCCAGCAGCCCAGCCCCCGTGCAGGTGGAGGATTCTGAACACACTCTGCAAACAGGCTCTCAAGCTGTTCCAGGAACACTAGGCAACTGCATGTCTCCAGAACAGGCACCTGATCCTCACCCACGTGGGCCCTGACACCTGACCCCATTGAGTCCTCTAGCTGACAAGTGAGAGAAATGATGGGTGAGAAGAGACCTGCAGTAAGGTTCTGTGCAGAAGGCAGGGGTCTTCTGGGGCACCCCAGAGGCCCACAGAGAGGTCAGCACTGAGGCCGACATTGTCTGGTCAGAGTTGACCTCCTGGCACCATTCCACGCCCAGAACGAGTGGGAGGCCTGTGCGGCTGTTCATCCACTTCCTCCTTCAGCTGCGCCAGCATCCAGATGCACACCCCTTTCCAAATTCCCAGCCACTCCCAGAGGCAAGCCAAGATCTAATGGTTCTGATTGTTTAAGATCAGTCTCAGAGGAGCCTGAAGACATCTGGCTCAGTCCAAGCATCTCCTCCACTACGCACTGGACACTGGGAGAGGGAGCCCGTGGCATGGATGTCTCCACAGCACCTCGGCCTTCCTGCCCCACCAAGACCCTGCAGAAGCAGCGGCTGGAAGCTCTCAGCGCCTTCTACCATGTGATAATAGTGTGCTTAGGTGACATACTGGGGGAATGGGGGAGGCAGGGGGTGCTGGGAGGCGGCAGGATAGAGGAGCCTGGCAGAGGCCTGGATGTACCAATGGAAACAGCAGGGAAACTGACAGATGTTCTGTGGAGGTGAAGGTGGCTGGGTGGAAGAAATGAGGTCCCAGAGACCTTTCTCATGGCTTGCTTCTTGCCTAGCCCCCTGCTCCACCTATCTTCTCATCTACCTCCTCTTCACGCGGCTCTGGTCCCTAACTGTTCTCTACTTGATGTGGCTCTACCTGGACCGGGACACCCCCAGCCGAGGTGAGCTCAGGCAGTACTCCAGGTGGGAGAGATGGGGAGGCTGCCTCAGGCATTCAGCCACCCGGATCTCTGCCCGCAGGGGGAAGACGGTGGGAGTGGTTAAGGACCTGGCGGATATGGAAACAGCAAAGAGATTATTTTCCTATCAAGGTGATGGTCCCCTTCTCCAGGGATGTCCCCTCTCCCTAAACCCCCCTCTCTTTCCTCCCCTGCTCACCCTACCCTGTCCTGCAACCTGAGCCCTGCTGCCTAAGGACACAGAGGGGCAGGGTGTGGAGGGGTAGACCAAGCTCTGAGGTCTGCTGGGGCACAGGGCAGAACCCCCAGAGGTAACCTGTCCTCTATACCTCCCTCCTCTCCTTCTGCTCAACCGTGTCAAGCTGGTGAAGACGGCAGAGCTGCCCCCCAACCAGAACTACGTGCTAGGGGCCCATCCCCACGGGATCATGAGCACTGGACTTGTCTGTAATTTCCTCACCGAGAGCAACAACTTCTCCCGACGCTTCCCAGGGATTCAGCCCTGGATAGCCATGCTCAACTTTTTCTTCTACCTTCCAGTCTTCCGGGATTACATCATGGCTGGCGGTGAGCCTCAGGCTGAAAGGGGAGGAGGCAGTGCCTGACTGAGTGTTCCCCTTGCCCCATTAAGACCCCCCACAGAGGATACTGAACTTGCCCTGAACACTGCTCAGGCTCTACAATGGACAGATGAGGACGGAAACTTGGCCCCACTCTTCCCCTGCTACAGGGTGCAGTGAGGAAACAGGGCTAAGGCAGTACTGACTGCTCCCCATCTGCTCATGACACAGGACTGCGACCCGTGAGCCGTGCCAGCCTGGACTTCATCCTGTCTCAGGGCCAGCTTGGCCTGGCAGTGGTCATTGTGCCTGGAGGTGCCCATGAGGCCATGTATACGGCTCCAAGGCAAAACTGCCTCAAACTCCTGAATCGCAAAGGCTTTGTTCGACTGGCACTGAGACATGGGTAAGTGGACGTGCAGGCACAGATGCTGGCCTGTTCTCCCCTAATCCAGCCATCCAGGTCTCTGTAGGCGAGCACTGCACCCACACCTGGCTGCACCTGTCAGTTCATTCCTGTAGGGAGGTGGGGCCCAAACTGACGCAAGGAAGTCCCCTGTCCTAGCAGTCCTGGGTTCTCTTCCCAAGCCCACATAGAGGCAGCCCTGGGGCCTGACCTTTCACTCTCCACAAGGCTGGGTCTGCCTTGCCCCAAGGCTGCAGGTGCAAACACTGAGTGTGAAGGCACCTGTGGAAAGCCCACTACATAGGTTTTCTCAACACAGGTGAGACTTCCTTCCAGAACATTCTATGCAGACATAGTAGTGCACTCCCAACAGCCTAGAAAGTAGCATCACTTCAGCTGGGGGAGTGTATTCCCCCAACCCCAGTGCCCATTATGGGGGTCAGTCCAGGACCTGACTATGGCATTTGTCTCTGCAGGGCATCCCTGGTGCCTGTGTACTCCTTTGGGGAGAATGATGTCTTCAAAACTAAGATTTTTGCCAAGGGCTCCTGGCTGCACCTGTCCCAGATCATCTGCAAGAAGTTCACTAGATTTACTTTCTGCATCTTCTGGGGCCGGAGTCTCTTCATGCGCAAATCCTGGGGTCTGTTGCCCCTTGCCAGGCCTATCACCACTGTTGGTGAGTGCCCACCTGCACAGGAGGGAGTGGTTATGGATGGTACAAATAGCATGGCAGCCTCCAGCTCACCTGTGTCTCTCTCTCTTGCAGTGGGCGCCCCCATCCCTGTGCCCCAGCTCAGCACACCCACTGAGGAGCAGGTTGACCACTACCACAGGCTCTACCTGGAGGCCCTGGAGCGACTGTTTGAGGAGCACAAGGAAAGCTGTGGCGTCCCCGCCTCCAGCCACCTCACCTTCCGCTAGGCCTGCCCTCACCTGCCCATTGAATCTGAGCCCGCCATCTCTTGCCCTCTTCTGCCCTCCAGTAAAGGCTGTGCTGGACTTGAACACGGCCAAACACAGCCACCCCTCCACACTACGGCTGTGTCAAGTCTTTATCTCTTAGGGATGTATACATTTTTAACTATGATTGCAAAGCATTAGAGGTATTGGTGGGAAACCACTACCACATAGCCAGAATAACATAAATTAAGACTGAGTTCTATTTGATGCCTGGATTGTTTCATGACATTTCACTCCAGTTGTTAATCTTGTTTTAGTAGGGGAAACTGATATTTAAAGAAAATTTTATTTATTTGAATTGCAAACTTACGAGTCAGATACAGAGTGAGATCTTCCCTCTACCTCTCACTCCCCAAATGTCTGCAACAGCCAGAGTGGGGCCCATACGGGTGCAGGAGCCAGGAGCTTCTACTGGGTCTCCCACGTGGGCATAGAAGCCCAAACACGGGCCCAGGGCAATAGCATAGTGGTTAAAATCATCACCTTGCACACGCCGGGATCCCATATAGTCTCTGGTTCTAATCCTGGCGGCCATGCTTCCCATCCAGCTCCCTGCTTGTGGTCTGGGACAGCAGTTGAGGACGGCCCAAAGCCTTGGGACCCTGCACCCGCGTGGGATACCTGGAAGAGCTCCTGGCACCTGGCTTCGGATTGGCTCGGCTCCAACCGTTGTGCTCACTTGGGGAGTGAGTCATCGGATGGAAGATCTTCCTCTCTGTTGTCCCTCCTCTCTGTATATCTGCCTTTCCAATAAAAATAAATAAATCTTTAAAAAAAAAAAAAAGAATCCAAACGCAAGGAGCTGTGTAATCCAAGTCCTGACAGGAGACTCTGACCCCCCACTCTGCGTGAAGGTGTGAGCAGAACCTGAGCTGACACACGAACCACGACCTTAAACCTGCAACATGATTTCTCCACCATGAACCTGTGCCAGGTGCTGATATAGAGAGAAGAGCGGATAGACAACTCTGAAACCATTAATATCTCTCCGTCTCACGAACACCAAGCACCAGGGCCGTCTTCCCCTGCCTTCCCGGACCACCAGCAGGGAGCTGGATAGAACGCGGAGCAGCCAGAACTCGAACTGGAACCCTCATGGGAATCCAGCGCTTGCAGGCAGTGGCTTCACCTGCTACATACATTTCTGGCTCTATTCAATCCTTTCTGCACAGAGAGGGCAGTCCCTGTGCAGATGAGGAGACTGATGCCCGGGACTCAGCAGCTGTGACACCTGCCTTCTACCTGGTGCTGGATGTTCCATTTCTTGCTGCAATTGGTGGGGGAACGGGGGGAGGGTGGCAGCGCATTGAGGCTCCCATTGGCTCCATGACTTGGTGTAACTTCGGGCCAGTCACTTCACCCTTTGGTCTCTGGTGCCTGCTGGCCTACTGCTGCGGTTGTGAAGCCTCGCACAGGTGCAGGATTCCCTCTTGTTCATCTTCACCTCTTCTTATCTCTCTGCCCTCTCCCACAAGAGCTGCTCAACCCCAACCCCAGTGGGAGTGTCAAAGAGGGGAAGGAGTGGAGGGGAAGAGGCCCAGAACCACACGATGAAAGAGCAAGGCCAGATCCTCTGAGTCCCTGGATGCAGAGACACCCTGTCCACCACCCAGGAGGGCAGGGAGGATGACGTAGGGCTCCCATGAGTTCAGTGAGAGGGAGCCAAGTCTTGCAGGGAGACCCCCAAGGACACCACCTGCCAACAGCAAACCGCATCTGGTTCAGGCAGGGAGCCAACACTGGCCCGAGAGACCAGTCAGTGACTTCTGGTCCGAGCTGGGTCTAGAATTCCTCCTTCCATGCCTGTGCTCACATGCATGGGTCTCCAGAATATAACCCTCCACTTCCAACTTCCACCCCCAACTCAGGACCACACCCAGCAGCATCAGCCCACCAGCCTGTGAGGCTGTCAACCTAAAAGCAGATGGCACAGGGACACACTACTGGGGAACGGAGCTGAGGACATGTGAGAGCTGGGCAACCCCCACAGGAGGACCTAGGCAGACACCAGGAGCTTCCTGCATCCCAGTACTGCAGTTAGGCTGTGTCTTGCCTGTCAATGTCTTAGCCCCTGATCAGGCGGATTGTAGGCGTGCTTCGCCCAGTGCAGGAAGAATGTGGAGCCCTGCCCACAGTGCCCACTCCTAAGAGCCACAAGCAGCTACTCCCAGGCCTTCCCGACAGCCTTTGCAGGCAGTGGGGACCCCCGCACAGTAAGACTAGGAGTGCTGGGAAGGAGGACATTAAGGAGGCCAACATCGTCTTTCCAACTCCGCAGGGCGCTCCTGGTATGTTTCACAGCCAAAGCTTTCCCTTCTCACTAGACCCTGCTATCCAAGATCCTTGCTGGACTCCAAGACCTGCCCCACACACAGTTCAGATCCCTCACCCAACCTAGCCCCTGGTCATTTCCGGAGCTCCTATGAGTAGAGCTACCTAAGCTAAGGTGGTGACCCCTGCTTCCTAGCTATATCTGCCATGCTGGGGAGCAAAGGGGGTGGACACGAGGATGGGACCAGGGCCAGTGGGTTAGGCCGGGAGGGGCGGGAGCTGAGAATTGCGGGTGCCTCTGTGGAAAGCCCCTCCCTCCTGTCTCTCAGTGGATCTCCTTCTTGGGGTAAGGTGATCTCCATGTGCTAGGAATGCGAGTAGACCCGAGCACCAACCAAGCTGATTCCTGCTTCCCCTGACAGAGACAACCAAGGGATGCTGGGGACCCTGCAGTGTTTTTGGAAAGAAGGAGGGATGAAAGGGATGAGGACTCAGGGAGGAGACAGAGGAACTGCTGCACCAGCCCAGGTTTCTGCATGTCTACCAATTGCCAATCACCCTAGTCACTGCAGTCTCAGCTGACCTGCCTCCATGAGGACAGGAACACACGGAGGGTAGCAGGGTCCAGCCAGGAGCAGGTTCATGTGGAGCAACCCATACAGCAGCTCAAAAGCAAGGTGTGCTAAATTCCCTGCATGTGACCACATGGTACTCACCTAGGGGCCTGGCAGCCATCTGTCCCCAGAGAGTCTGCTCTACAGAGAGAGGGGAGACCATCAGGAGGGAAGCTCCTATGGCATTTGTAGATTTGTGTGCTAAGTGGGGGGTCGAGGGAGGTCCAGGAGGACTCAAAGGGGCTGGTGGCTCCTGAAGAGACCCGAGAGATCATCACTCAACATCCTACTGGCCGAGTCTCCAGTTGGCTCCTGCTGCCTGCCTGCACCTGGAGACCGTGGGCGGGCTGAGAGTTGCATGTACCCTCCCTGCACAGTTGCTAGGACCCAGGTACCGCCCCTCTCCCTGCACACCCCCAACTCCGCCCTGCTTCTCCCAGGGGCTGGCTGAGACTCACAGACCCAAGATCAGTTCAAATTTAACCTCAGAAAAGCCTGGAGAATCTGGGGTTCCATCCAGGCAACTCCCATGCCACATGCTGGACACTGACACAGGGGACACCTGAGACCCACCCTGACCCTCCAGGAAGAGGGAGCTGCTGGAATGGACATCCACACAGCACCTCCACCCTCTCACCCCACCAAGACCCTGCAGAAGCAATGGCTAGAAGCACTTGGCGCCCTCCACTATGTGCTGGCTTTCCTGTTTCTAGGTGAGAGGAGGGGGAGGCTGGGGTGCCTGGGGACAGCCCAGGGAGAGGACTGCAGGGAGGATGGCTGTGTGGTGGCCGGAACACCTGGACCAAGGGACAGGGACAAGGTCAAAGGAGATGCTCCAGCCAGGTGCTACGTGAATGCAGGAGGAGGAATGGGCTGAGAAATCCAGTTCTGGGAGACTCATGCTTCTTCCTCCCCTACCCCAGTCCCTTGTGCTGCCCTTCTACTATACTACCTCCTCTTCACGCGGCTCTGGCCTCTGACTGTTATCTACCTGATGTGGCTCTACCTGGACCGGGACACCCCCAGCCAAGGTGAGCTCAGGCAGGGCTCCAGGTGGGGAGAGATGAGGAGGCTGCCTAAGGCATTCGGCCACCCGGATCTCTGCCCGCAGGGGGACGACAGTGGAAGTGGTTAAAGACCTGGTTGATTTGGAAACATCAGAGGGATTATTTTCCTATCAAGGTGATGGCTACCCACCCCAGATTCACCTCTTCCCTCCTGTCCCATCCCCACCCCTGCCCCTGCTCACCCTTCCCTGTCCTGCAGCCTGAGCCCTGCTGCCCAAGGAACAGAGGGGCAGGGGTGGAGAGGTGGACCCTGAGCCCATCCCAGAACACTGAGCTCTTAGGTCTGCAGGGACAGAGGGCAGCACTTCCAACTATGTCTTCCTTCTGTCCTCTTGCTCATCTGTGCAAAGCTGGTGAAGACGGCAGAGCTGCCCCCTAACCAGAACTATGTGCTGGGATCTCACCCCCATGGAATCATGTGCACTGGAGTCTTCTGTAATTTCCTCACTAATTGCAACGGCTTCTCCCAGCAATTCCCAGGAATACAGCCCTGGCTAGCCACTCTGGCTGGCCTCTTCCACCTACCAGTCTTCCGGGACTACATCATGGCTGCTGGTGAGCCGCAAAGTTAATGGGGGAACATCCCTGTCCAGTGTGCTCCCTCCAGGAATCTGAAACTCATGTGAGAGGGGGACCAGGGCACCTGTCCTGAACACTGAGCCTACTCTGCAGGAGCAGGGGAGGGGTGATAGTGGGTGGTGGGAGGAGGGAGAAGGGGCCCCCCTTTCCATGCTATAGGGTTGGGAGAAAGACTAGGAACCCCAGGTGCAGTGCTGACTGCTCCCCACCTGCTCTTGCCACAGGACTGCGACCCGTGAGCCGTCACAGCCTGGACTTTGTCCTGTCTCAGCCCCAGCTGGGCCAGGCAGTGGTCATTGTCACCGGGGGTGCCCAGGAATCCCTGTACACAACCCCAGGACAACACTGCCTTGCACTCAAGAGACACAAAGGCTTTGTTCGCCTGGCACTGAGGCATGGGTGAGTGGATTGTGAGACCCCACGCTGGGCTGTGCTC